CTTTATTTTCAAGGTGGCCTGAACAGAGTGTTTTAGGGCAGCAAACCCTGGTCTCAGGCCACCTTGCATTTAGCTTAAAAACCACAGCTTTGAAACCTCATGCGCGCCATACCCGGGAACAGAACTGTAGCTACTTGTAACTACCCTGGGTCCGTATAAATACTGTGTTGTTGTATACCTCTTACACACCTATACAAGTTCAAAGCACGAATGAGACTTCAAAGCTGTGGATTGCTATGCGTATGTAGAGGTTCTCAAGCGGTTGACGGAAAGGGAACTTGAAGTACTATACCTAGTAGCTACACTATGGCTACCCTAGGTCTCTATACCTTGCAAGGTGCCAACTACACCTTTCCATTCAGATGATGCAAATGATGCATTTGGCATTTCTTGCATCACCACCCCTCAAAAATCACCTCCAATACAACCTCAAAAAACCTTCCCTCGGAGCACCCTCCTCTCCCAGCATGTGCCGAGTTGACGTATACCTTTCTCGGGCCACCCCCCCAGACCCCCTAACTACTCACTTCGTTCGCCAGACACAACTCCGCTAGCGCCTTCTACGAAGGCTGGCTTTCGTAATTTAAAACCTGAATTCCACATGTCCATCACCCTAATATTGTTTTCTTGGCAGAAAACTCCCCTGGCAGAAAACTCCCCCCATTAATCAAGCCCAAATGCACCAGAAAAGTACAAAAATACATTAGCTTATTGTTTTCAAGCTGCAATCTAAGCCCAGCTCTCAGCAATCTTTGTTTCACAAAACCTAAAAGCCTCTCTAGCAAAAGTCTTTCATGTTCCCTTGTTAAAACTCTATCAAAATCGCAACATTTTGAAGCTCACAAAGGGTACCCCTGTCACAGGCCTCAGTGTTCACACAGAATCCTATCAACCATCATCCATCATCAGGTCATCACCTTTATTAAGGGGATGTGGTCTCCAATACCTCCAGTCTCAAACCTTGTTGACCTTCAAGAAGGAGGTTGATTAATCCTACATCGCCATTACAAGCTCCAGTGCAAAGAATGCAAGTTATAAACCATGATTTTATACCAGGCATGTGCTCGTTGATCCTGCATGGGACACTTTAACCGGGATAATCCGGGATACCAATAGTTATAAGTCTTTGGAACCACCCAGGGACCCAGCTATGCGTAGTGGTAACTATATAGATGCCCTGGCTAAGGGATGCCAAATTTCCTCCAAGAGGCCAATGAACCAAACGGTGTGTAGCTCCTCCCAGGAGACCGAGAGGTCTACCCGGCCAGGGGGCCTCCCTATTAAAATACAAACCCAAATAGCACCAGCACATTTCGATCCTGAACTCAATCATCAGCAACTCAACCCCTGCCCTCAATCTCCTCAACCCGCCCTCCGCGCCGTCTAATTCCAACCATTTCGCGAACAGGGCAGGGATCTTCTTGCGATCCGCCTGCTGCCGGGCAACCAGCGCCCGCTACGCTCCCAGTGACACGAGGTTTTCCGCATCCGAAATGGCCAATCGGGACGACCGGTCGTCCACGGTGATGGGGCGTCTGAACCATGGCCAAATTGGGTGGATAACTTGGCAACTTGCATGAACGTCCCTTGTCTGTTTCATCAACACAGAAAGATATAGAAAGAGTGGCCAAAGGCTAAAGATCTAAATCTGCAAACATCACTGGCTGGAAGTCCCATAGTTACATGCAGGACTTTTGATTTGCGTTTTGAATAATCATCATAGCAACGAAACGGAACGCCCTAGAATGCCCACATTATGACATATCATATGCCATATGCCCACTCTGTGGGGTAAACTCTGAAACCCCGCCGTTTCACTACCACTTCCAGGGACGCCACAATAGCGTCTAAAAGAGATTCGTCAAGGCCTTGAAGCGAGTGAGCTCAAAGTGAGTGTCCAAGAAACCGAGGAAATCGTCATCTTCGATGCCTTCCATGGAATCCCGTTCGGCTCTTGGTCATGAAGTGAAATGAGGTGAAAACAAAAACCGGGCGGAACATGGAACGAATCGGGCTGCAAAACGGCGGTAGCCTGCTACTCTTGGTTGTTTTGTGGATAGTTGGGTGAGCCTGGTCGAACCCCAAACAACAAGAAAGGGAAAACACACAAACACACACGCTTAGTATGTAATTTTGAAATACACATTACTTCACGTTACATAATCACATCACATATATATATATAGATCATAAAATATACAATGAATATCCATGAATGTAGATGTTTGGCTCCCAACAATCACAATCTGTCAGTGCACGTCAGGCCCTTGTGGAAAGTGATCAAAAACCACCCACACAACCATTGGCACGCGTTCACACATTCGTCAAATATAGTGGTGCATTGGGGTGCAAAGCGCGCCTCTTTATCAAGCCGGCTGTACATCGCACTAAACGAACCAACATAGCGGGGACAAGTTGGCTTGATCAGATTCTTCCTTCTACTGCAGGGGTGCTTCGGGGCACCCATGCTTGGATTTGCTGTCTAGGAGCCGGAAAAAATACATCTTCCCCAAGGCCACAAGGGGATTTGTAAAGAACTGATCCGCAAAACCAGTCCCGCCTGAGAGCGAGGCTTGGATCTGGGCCTCGACGCTGAAGTTGCAGACCAAGCGTCCAGAGATGGGAACCTGGCGAGAACAATGCTTACCATGCTTCTTACGCTACTAGGAACAAGGTACGCTACTAGGAGCAAAGGGCATCGCTACTAGGAGCAAGGACGCTACTAG